CTAAATTCCGTCTAAAAATATACAGAATCTAGACAGTTGAAATTAGGTCTAAAAAAAACTAGAAGTCTAATAGCCGTCTATTGCTCAGTGAGTGGTACGCAGGAAAAAGCTTTTATCACCATCTAGATTGCTTGAAAATGTGCTGCTGGTATAGAAATTAAAATGAGCATCTATTTTTATTCCACAATAACACTTTTCATTTTCAATGTTTGATTGTCTTTGCATATCTTCATAAAAACTAGGCTTAAAATAATGTGCAACACATCTGTTTTTATCAATATTTCACTCAGCAACCCAACTCTCACAGAGCTGTTATACCAAACCGTGTAGAAGGGACATTTAAACCACGAGTCAGACTTTAACAGAGCAAATGACAGCCTTCTTTCCAACACTTGTTTGACAGCCCACTGAGTTTGTTTCATATTGAGGGGGAACTGCTGGCATGTTAAACCATAACAACACGTCCCCCAAGCTAGCGCGTTAGCTTGAAGAAACGGAGAGGGGTTTCCCAGCTTTAGAAACAGGGGCTGGCTGGCTTGCTGTCTGAGTAGCTTGACATTAATGGAATTTGAAGAGTCTGCATGTTTACTGATGGTTGGTTTTGGGTTCTTCCCCCTTTTTGAGAAATTATTGGGGAGGGTAAAGAGAAACAAGGGCAACGACAGCTGATGTGGTTTGGTCAAAGAGAAAGAAAGGGAACATCTGCCTTTGATTTAATGTGTGGCCCAATAAAGACCCATAGCACTGGTGTAATATCTGTGTTTCTCTCTCTGCCTTCTTTCTCTTTTTCTCACACACTCAAAAAAAAAGCATCATCTCGCCGACCATCTCGCAGCCCAGAACTTTCTTTTCAATTGCTTTTTCTCTTCTGAGCTGTAAATGTAAACACAAGCCAATGCATACATGTACTGAGTAGAAGCAAGGGCTAGAGTAGTTAAATCCTTGATTTGTACCTCTTGAAAACTCTCACAAGTCCCCTGTGCCCCTCCACCCCCGCTCTCCACCTCCTCCTACACAATTCCCAGGTCAACAGAGCTCTCAATATGAGGCGCGTCTGGTCTACTGTGACAGCATATGGTTATCCGCTCAAGGTGTCCGGAGATTCTCATACTTAATACGGTTCCAATAAACAATAGAGCGAGAGGCTTATTTAATCACAGCAGGAAGACGCATAGAGACAATTAAGTATCTTTCAGAGTTTTTTGTGTTTGATCTGGCATTTCTTCAACACTTGTAATGTCTCTCTGTCTGTAATCAAAGTATCCCCGTTTTGCAGTCAACCATTTGGCAGGAAAGGAGCTATACTGTAAACAGTCTAAATTAAACACTGATTACATCATATTTTGAATCAGGGGGGCTGGGATGGCATCACATGACATTTTATATGTGCTGTCAGTTACCTTTTAAAGACACTCACCATGGAGATGATGTTTATCTTAAGAGAGCAAGTGTGCGATTTGCCTGTTAGAGGCGCAGTTCCTTAAGTGCTCAGCAGATCTGTGCAGATGTTTGCAGCGTAAACACAAAGTGAATATTAGAGAAATGTAAATCCAGAGAGTCTGCTAGCTAAGTGTAATAATAAAGCTGATCTGATTCCATCACAGTGAGTCCTCCCTAGCAGATTGGACTTTATTATCTGATAGGATGATAGACAGATGCTTCCTTTCTAGGGTCGAGTGTGTACTGTGGTTGTTATGGGGACAGTGAGACAGGCATGATGGAGACATGCGCTCGGACTGATAGCATCTCTGAAAGGCAGCTCCCCTGGGTTAATGGGGGAGTTATTCTATTAGAGCCCCTCCTCTGCTCCACTCCTCCTCTTTCTGGCGGAGAGCAACTATCATTGTCTGTTTTCTCCTGCGAGGGGAGGAGGCTAATGACCTCTGGAGTGCAAAATACAGCCAGGGCTAGACTGTCCATCAGGACCACCGGCAGAGTGACTGTTAGCATGGCTGGATGATTGGACCGGAGTGTGAGAGCAGTGTAAAAAAATATCTGCTCTTAACCTGTTTTTATGATCCCCGGTACCTGAGATTTATATGTTTATTTTTCTATTCAGTGCCATTTAATACTCTGCATTGGGAGAGGTTATGTACTTTTTACGAAAGAAAAAGTATTTCACAACTTAAAGCTCTTGTGAGAATTTCAGCTAAGTAAGAAAAAATAGACAAGGTAAGTATTAATGTTATTATCAAACTGTACCATTCTTCACATCATTATCATCACAATTTATACTAAGCGTTTCATGAAATGCATTTACATAAAAATTCAAAAATAATTGTAAAAGTATTTCATGAAACAGCAATTTTTTACAAAATGTAAAATACTTTAAAATTGAATTCAAATGTAAAATAAAAAAAAGAAAAATAGAGGGAGCAAAAGAGAAGAACAGAAACCCTAAAAATTCTTCCTTTTTTAAATAATTTATAAGTAAATTGCTGGCTGATAAAATTCAGGGTGCGATATGAATTTGACTATTGAGAGCTTCCCAGAAGCAAACACTGTCATGAAAATCTGTTTTAGTGAACCTGAAAAATGTTTCCATTTTATTTTTATATTTGAAATTTTTGTACAAATAATGCTGATGTTTTTTATGATTCTTATTTTTACATTTCTTGAGATCTTTTTATGTTTTCTGAAATGTTGTAATGTTTTTTGCAAAATGTCTTCAATGTTCAGCCAAATGTTTTTGGAGATCTTGAAATGTCTCTGCAGTTAACCTTCAGGGCCACCATATTCCTCTGTAAAACTTTCTCTTGTTATGCTGACGATACCTGCTTTTACATGACATTGAATATCAAATAATGGTATTGCCAAATGACAAATCTACTGTATGAGCATCAAATAATAAAACGCAGAGAAGCAGGAGATGTGTAATAATGGAGCAACACAAAGAACACTTGAGCACATAAAAAAAACTGCTGTGGCATTTTGAGACTGATTTTGTGGTTGGTAATGACTTTAATAGTAATATGATTCCATAAACACTCATTAGATCTTTCCTTTTTCCAAACACCCTGGCTGGCGCTACAGAACTAAACCCCCTACTCCACCTCTCAGTCTCCTGTCTGTCTGAGTCTCTCTCTCCCTGAGCCTCCCTATCCCTCTCCACCACTTCTCCCTGACTGCTGATTCTCAGGATCGATAATTCTCAGCGGGCGCCCTTATATTTCCTTCTCAACATACCTGCTGGGCCATAAATCACTGCTGTGCTTCTTTGGCAGGGAGGATGCCTCAGTTAGAAAACATCTTGAGGAGGCACAGGTCAGGTGGAAAGGTGAGGACAGCTTAACGGACTGTCCCCAATAACATGTCCTCTCCTACAGCTCTCTGAAAAAGATTTTTTCTCTCAGTCAAAGGCTGTTAAGGGGATAAATAAGAAAGCCACATTAAGCTGTCAAGCTTAGACTTTGGAGAACAGAGACAAGCTTTTCCCATGAAGATGCCAAACTGAAAAAGCGTAAGAAAAAAAAGGGGAAAACATACTAAAATCAATCACAGATTTTAAAAAAGGAGTCATTTTTCCAAGAAATATACTGAACAGATGACTTTTAAAAATGGAGCAGTTTGTGAGTTTGCTTTTGACCAGCTTGCTCTCATATTTCTAATTTAACATCAAGAGCAGCAACTTTTGTGTTTTTTCAATTTACCAACAATAATTTTAATGGTTTTTTTTTCGCCTGAGGACTTTGCACCTCAAATTTATATCAGAAGAGGTTTTAAAAGTTATTAAAAGTCATTCAAATCTTCTCCTCCAAGATCAACATTGGCAAAAAAAAAGGCGCCCCCTTGTTCCTAAGCATTGTCATACTTTTCTAACCTTCAAAGTATTCTTATGGCTTTTCTGTTACATATTGAAAGTCAAAGGAAGCCATCTTTGAAGTTTTCAGGAGCATGCATCTGTTCTGTTTTGCTGCCAGATATCTCTCCATGGCTCCTAAATGCAGCAAGAAGACATTGACCTAGGCCTCAGTAATGGCCCCTCGGTGACCATCCTCCCTCTCTATGACCATCCTTTGCATTGTTTCTCACTGAGGCGCTTGACATTTTTACGTCCTAACTTACACGACTTCAACCAGCAAGGGTGCACTTGTGTGCCGGTACAAAAGCGGAAGTGAGGAAATAAACTGGAAGGATTAAAAAAAAATATTCAAGAGCAGAGTCAAACGGGGCCTGCGTGACCCTAGTTCAGTCCAACAGTGATCACAAATTGTGTTTCTGGTTTTTCAGGACATCAAAGGTGGTATGGTGAAGGTGACTCACCCTCAGCAGGGAAGGCTGATATATGGAGTGAGGAGGGAGAAGGTTTGAGGCTCAAAGAGGGGTTTATGCGGAAACTTCTTGGACAAACTCTCACCGCACCGCGTGTGACCTTGTGACCCATGTTCAGATGGGAGAAGAGAAATATTTCTACTTTTTCCTTCACTAAAGATGCCCCAAAGCAATACTTTAACACCAGCCAAGGCTTTAGTTTATACTGAAAGCATGAGGGGTAAAAAAACATGAGACAAGAATCACGTTCTGTGTAACCACGTATTTAAAAAGTTATCATGTCCAATGGGGCGTGCAGTCCTTCTTGGGCCTCAAATCAATCCTTTTTGTTTCTTTAGGAGGTGAATAGTCACAAAGCGGGGCCAAAAACAAACAAATAGCACAAAAAGTGTAAAGTTTGATGGGTTTTTGCACCATTAATTTATGATTTTGAGTCAGAGGTATTTCCTGGAGAGGCCAATGTTTTTCCTACCAGGCTATAATTGTGGTGATTTACACCAACGGCTACAGAAACATCTAATTTCCCCCTTACTCTGTCCTCTGCAGCAGCACAGGCAGCCCATTGTGTGCCTGCATTACGATAAAGAATACACAGATAAGTGGAGACTGGTAGCAGACAATGGCTTTTCTATTGCAAGTGTGTGTAATCGTCTTGTGGAGGGAGGCACTGTGTTTTGGCAAATTGCATCAGATTCATCAGGCTATAGGCATCTCCTTTCCTGCTTGCTCCTCAGGTTTCCTCCGCCCCATCACAGTGCGGGAGCTTTACTACGCTGCCCACTCTCAATAGGCAGGGCTGACGGTAAGATTTCAGATGCCGGCCAACCTCTCAGAGGGAACAGGTGTCCCCTCTGTCTGCCCGTGGTCGAGGTCCCGTGGTGGAAGCATGGGAAAGGGCAGCCACCGCAGAGGTTCTACCCCAGCGGACAGGTAACAGAGCGCCTTTCAACTCGGCCTGAATTCAGCTAAATTGGTATCCTTTTAGGCACCACGGGAAGCAGTTGGATCTAGGAAATAAAGAGCGGAAATTTGCAGAGTGATTCCCAGTTGGCTTGAGGAGTATGGAGCTCTTACAATGGGAAAGGAGAGGAACTATTTTGATGTGTAAATGAGATAAGAAAAAAGGGTCTTAGGCCAGAATTGCTTAACTTTATTGCCTTAATGGAGGTGATCAGACTACACTAATTGTGTAACCAGTGAATAATTCAGTGACTGAAATATACTGCCCTCAACGGACTTTAGCAAACACATCAACAATCACCTTTCCGACAATTTCCTGGGGACATTTTTTTCTTTCAGGCTTGAGATGAGGAGGGGTTTTAAGCCTGGTGGTGAGCAGATCATTAAGAAGAGAGATCAAAAGAGCAGCAGGGTCAGCCCTGAAGGAAGCAGCTCATCAGTCTGACCTGTGATCACAGGTGCAGGTGTGATGGGGAACACAGGGGCAGCAAAATATCTCAGAGGCTAACACCTTTAACCACCAGCAGCGCCAGGGAGTTGTAAGAGGGGGAGCTGTGAGGGGGCTGGATTGTTTATAACAGAGGGTGCAATAGCCAAAATGTTTCATGGGCATTAATGTAATACTATTCACTCATATCATTCAGATACATGTAAAATGTTGCATTCACAATGATCCCAAAAAATCACGATCAAATTTGAGGTCATCGCAACAGCATGTGTGGACTTAGTGGACAAACAGTGACCTTAACCTTCCTCCTGTGTTAGCTTTTACAAAACACCCACTATGTTAAGGGTCAGTTTCAACCCGTGTCTTAAATCAGCCACAAATTACACTAAAAACAATTCTCTATCGTCCAATTTGGTTCTCATCTCTAGGCTAACTTGTTAGGCTTCATTATCCATGAAAATATTGCTAATAATATTTTTCATTGTGGGTCTCTGGGCCTGTCTTTGTCAGTATACCCCTCACACAGACAATTTTACTAAATTGATCTCGTATGTCTGGACATGCCTGACATTGTTATTTGTCCAGGTGAAAACATGGAAAAATAAGAATTTCCTCGATCTCATATAATTGGAAGAGGATCTGACTGTCAGTGTGGTGCCTGCCAGTGCACTTGTGATTTCAGTTTTTGCTCTAATTATTAGATATAAATCTAATTGGGTCAACAGTGACCCTAACACGACAAGTGCCATAATTTTAATAAGAGCATTTTATAATTTAGTCAATTTTATCTTTTATTTTGTTGAAATAGAAGTTCCTGACAAAGTCAAAAAGCCTTGATGCAAAAAAGCAAATTTAAGTGGTTCTTTAAAGCATTTAAAATAAAAATCGGTTGGTGCAGACCCTATAACACAGGAGGAGGGATAAACTACATCAGTGATTAGCTTTCTATCTAATTAGGGAGTCTCCTCCTTGTTGACCCCATGATTGTCCTCCATTCACAGCCAAACAATGTCTCCACCGTCCACCATCCTCTTTTCAGTGATTAGCAGTCCGTCGTCAAGCTAGCTGACGTCATTCAGCTCTAACTTGTCTGTTAGTGACTACAGAGTAACTCAGGAGAACAAACATTATTGTTTTCTCTGAATCAACTTAACGCTTGTTTTACGTCCTCAACTGGAAGCTGTTGGAGTTAGGAATGGTTATAATGTCAGAGAACACAAACCAGACAATCACAAAAGCAGAAGAGGACGTCATTTGCATCACTGTAATATCCGTACAAAAAAGTTTTTTTAATTGATGAACTCTAAGACCAGATTGATTTCTCTCTGTTAGAGTTAAACTATTTATAAGTCACACGTTTGATTCAGCTTTGAATGCTGCAGTGTGGTTCAAACAGCTACATCTTTCAAATCTTAAAGTAGTATTTTTAGGCTCTCAGTGACAACACTCCCCCTGTGATCCCCTCCATTCATAAATGCAGCCCAACACAAACTAAGCTAAGCTAAATCATCAAAGTCAAGCATGGCCTGGAGGAAGCTCCATGGTTATAGAACAAAGACATTTACAAATGTCATGTGTGACCCCTACGCTCACATTCTGCACAGTGATAATATATATCGATGGGAATGCCATTAAAAAACAGTTTCAAGCCCCTCCTGGATTCATTTGCGCTGACCCAGAATGCAGTATTTTCTTAACACAAGCAGCAGGCTGCTTTGATGTTATCTCCCTATCCAAACAGTGGAGGGCCGGCTGCCCCCACCCCGCCTGTGGCCGCGAAGGACGGCGTCGATTAATCACAGTGAAGCCTGCAAGGGCGCACTCATAAATCGCCTCGCCGCTCCTTAAACAGGAGAGTCCCAGGGCGCAGCTCCGTCATTTATCAACACTCTCCACTCCGGATGAGGAGTAAATAAAACTCTGAATTTGTAACTGAGGGAGAAGGAGGGGGTCATGTGTCCTGGGATGTTGAGCATATCCACTGGTGTAATGGTAAATAAAGAAATGCCTAAACTCTGACCTCTGAGCAGTCATCAATTTAATTTGTTTATTTATTGAACATTTTCTTTGACTTCTTTTCTCCTTTAATTTGACTCTCTCCAGCTTGGTATTCTGGCTTGTCTATGTAGACTAAACCTTTATCCATGCCACATGTTGACATATTTTTAGTATCAAATGAGGATCTTACTGCACTCATACAGTGGTCATAATCAGCCCATTTGAAACAAAGGGCAAGTTTCCTCAAAATATCTAAAAGTCTGATAATTCTGTTGAGTGTCCTCTTGATTGACAGGGTAGTAAGTCTGCAACTACTATGACGAGCCTTTACAAATTGAAGTCCCAAATTTTTTGCCTTGAATAGCAAACATTGGCTGAGAGCTGTGTGGCAGAGGAACAAATAAGGACTATATGTAGCTGCATTATGTTTCCCTCATGTGGAGATCAGGGAAAATGCATTAGTGTGTGCTAAAAACTGTAGACATTATTAAACTTAGTGTCCCATTTACTTTATGTGGTAAGTTGCTGATTTTATAAATAAATCTGGACGGACTCAGAAAACTTTCAGTCAGGTTTGGATGTGTCTACAGAGAGAATAAATCAAAACATAGTGGGGGTTGTAATGTATGAAAGTTTAAGAATACTTTAGAAAGCCATTATAATAGATCAGACTTTGTGTTTTCTTAATGAAGAGATAATATTCTGTGGTCTTTCTTATCATGATGGTTCTCGTAGATTAATTCTACATGCGAATGCTACACCCCGTGAATAACAAAAACACGAATACCAGTAAAATCAGTTTCCCAGAATTCCCCTTTTTGACAGGCTGCAGATGTAAACATTGCTCCTTGTATCTGGCAACACATCCTGTGAGAGTCTGGGAGAGGCAGGAGCAGACAGCACTATCTCCATCATCGGCGCTCACCAGGCCTGTCCTCGCACTGGCAACCCCACAAAGCCTGCGAGGAGACAGATGACAGCGCCACAAAGACAACACAGGTGGCTGGCTGCAGACCACCTGGAGCAGAAAAGCTCGGCCACACTAAGATCTCAGGGAGACACTGCAGTCGGGGAAGAGTCGGTAAATGGAAAAGGGGGATTTTTGAGGGGGGATGGGGGGGACTGGACAGACTGAGGAGCTGGATGAGGAAACAGAAACAAAGTAAAGTAGAGGGGTACAAAACATAGAGTTGTGCACTGATAGATGTTTTCACCCATAAGTGAAAAATTGTATATGAAAAAGGTGTTTTAGCCGTTCCTTGCTTATAACTTGAATGCCTCACAGGAATTGTTCAATTTGTGGTAAATGCACTTCTTTACTTGTTTTTGTAAGTCCATTTAAAAGTGTAAAACTTTGTCACCTCTTATTATTACTCCATAGTTCTCCATGTAGCTGACACTAAGTTGAAGAAAACAAACTTAGCTGCATGAGCACAAATAACTGAGTCACATAATCACAGAAAAAATTAAACTTTCAATTTTATCATGATCAAATGGACACATTTCCTACTGAATTTTTCCAGTGTTTTTGGTTTTATAAGTCAGAACCATGTATAAATCCTGAAATGATATCTCCCTCTTTACTATCATTCACAGTGATGGATAAGCTCATCAAAGTTAACCCTGATCTATCACCACCATCGCCGAAGAACTGCTCTCAAATGTCACAATAAGCCGGCTTACATCAAATCTGACCTCTCTCTCCTATTTCCTTTAACGATACCAGTTAATAACGATGAGGTCCGTCACACTCTACATTGCGATTACATGCCCTCCTTTTAAGAGTTTTTTTTTCCTGACCAAGATAAATTTCTCTCCAGGACTCACATTCATGCCCACCTTTGAACTTCAGTAGATACTTCAGTGCCGTGACCTCCATCTATTCCCCTTATAGAGTGCCGTGAACATTTATCCAGACGCCACAATCCCCATGGATCAAATTCTTGAAAAATGATGGACAATGTCTTGAGCCAGCAAGTCTTTAAAAGTGAGATAGACTTCCAGTGATGCAAAAATAAGCTGGACAGACTGTTGGTGTGGTTGAATAGAAACACAGAAGAAGTCTTTGCCTCAGTAGCGCATGTTTGATTTGTTTTCTCCTGCTATTGTCAGTGCTTTTACACGGCACCAACAGCAGACATAAAGGACAGTGAACAACAGCATTATCTGGTTTATTACAGTCTCAGTTTGCTCATTTATGTAATCACTTACAGCAGGGTTATATCATGTTTTTTTAAATGCATTAGCATTGTAGCATGTAGCTCAGGGCCATTTTTAAAAATGATCTTATAACCAATTAGTATTATCAAAAAAGGCTGATATTGACATTCAACTACTTCCTGACTAATGTTGTGTATTGGATTATGACATATTTATGACTAAAGCTAATGGTTTATTTTATTTTATTTTTGACTTTGACACCTCTGCAAATTTGTGAGGGTTTTGCCTCTCCACTTATTGATCATTGTGAAAATATCAAGAAAATTTTCGTCAGATTTCCTATATTTTGACGGCTCAAAGGCTGGGTGAACACGTTTCAAGACCCTTGATTTTGCAATCATTTGAAAGCTTAATTTTCCAAAACATCCCTTTTTACGCCCCAGTTTACCTCCTCGGTAGCTTTCCTTTGCACTGCAGCAGAAGTGTGTATGCATCTCTGGGTCCAGGCGGGTTTGGTGGGAGCCTTGCTACTCCAGCATGAGGCCTAACAGTCTGCAAGCCTCCTCAACAGCTGTCATGAAAACCAAACAGACACTCTTAATTGGTGTTCCAGACTCAAGGAAACTGGACTAAAATATTTGCATAATTTCACAGAGGACTGAGGAAATTGTTAAAACATGTGAGCCCTGGCTGCTGAAACCTAATACCTGTAGGCCGAGTGGCTCTTGGGTGCCACCCAGCGCCAACAGTGCCAGGATGGAGTAATGGAGGGGGAGGGGAGAGAGGCGAGGAGTGAAAAGGTCACACTGGCTGATCCTATTAGAGTGCCTCACCTTCTCATACTGCTCAGAGCCAGAGACGACCTGACACAGACTGAGCCTGCAGTATTGCACTGTGATGCTTCCTGTTAAGACAAAAGACACAATTTTTATCTCCATCTGCACATTTAGTGAAAACATGTGTTCATGAGTGTTTTGCTTATTGTTGTTCCAAAAGAGGACCAAATATGCTCATCTTTAAAGCCAATAAATTAAAAACATACATTTTTTTAACTTCCTTTTCTCTTTACAATTCGTTTGACCAATCAGAATCAGTGATGTAACACAGCCTGGTGATCAATAAGAAAGCTGAGTGATAATACGTAAGAATTAATGTACGGTGAGACAACATTGTTATTGTCTCCAGACTTTTTATGATCCACCAGAGTAAAAAAAAAGTCTAACATGATGTGCTCTCAATCTTTAGTGAACTTTTATTGTAAAGTATTAAAGTAAATTAGTTTACATTAATATTAGTGCATCTGGTCCGTGTCCTCCTCCATCCTGGTTCCCACATAGTGAACCATAGATGTGGGCGTTCAGTCACAGCTGAGGCAGCGCAGGGTAATTAAACTAGTCTGAGCCATGTGGAAAAGACATAGAGCTTTAAATGCCCTCACTGGAGATAACATGAGCGCCATGCAGATAGATCACATGGGAGATCCCCGTTTACTGGGGATGCCAGCTGCACAGAGACACCACGGCAGCTTTGTCACCTTGTAAACGAAAGAGTAGAGACAGAAGTGCGAGGAAGTCAATGAGTGGTACCACAGTTTGTCTTTTTGTTGCACACCAGAGGCAGCAGGGAGCAGAGAGGGGAGCACGGGGTCTGAGATTGCACGGTGCTTAATAAAAACGCGGAGGAGGCAAGTATGAGACGCATGAAGTAGCTCAAACAAGCATCAGGTGTCTCTGGGATTTCAAAGGAAATTTCATGCTGCAAAAGTGTATTTTATGGGTCTCAGCTAAGAGAGGTTGTGAAATACAAACCCTTGATTGTTGACATTGGATATTATATACTGTAGTTGCTGTTTTTTCAATATAGATGCAAATGAGCCACCAACACTTAAAAACCCCAATATAAATGAAGGGGCAAATTATATAATCACTGGCGCTGGACTTTATTAGTACTAAAAACAACTATGTATTACTGAGGACTGATTAGATCTAATCAAGTGTTGATAAAGTGAGTAAACGGATCATGAAACATCCGCTCCTTATGAATACAACATAATTATTAAGTGATTATGGTGATTACACACCCACCAGGGTTTGCAGCATGTCTTTATTACCACACAGATTAATCAACGCCACAGGCAAAGACAGCAGGCCGATAAAATACTCCCAGTACAAGACGGATACAGAATAAGGATTGAAAATATTTTTAATACTTTTCAAAATGAAACCTTTTTTTTCTTTTTTTTTTAGTAATAGACTGAATGGAAGTGTGTGGGTAGAAAAAAAAATTGGACCTAGGATTGAGCCTTGTGGAACACCACAGTAATTACCTATACTGACTGTGTAGGTTTGCTGTCAAAGGCCACTATAAAGCCAAGTATGATCATTAATTTTACTTATCTATCTAATGTTTTATCCATTATGGTTGTGTATACACTTATTACATACATGTGTTTGTGTTGCATATATGTTACAGGGCAATGTTGGTGCAATCTGGCACCAAAACTGTCTGAGGGTCAGTTGAAGCTGTCCTCATTGTGATGATGAGCAGAAAATGTTAACAAGCTTGGATATGAGTCTTAGAATTAAAACATGAAAAAGTACACATATTAGTCACGTGCAGTAACAATCATCCTAGTGTGAGTCGTTATTACAGGCCCAGACAGTTGGAGTAAGATGATGGATGAATAATGTCTGCGTGTAACCATGTGATGCATTTAAAG